TTGTGCCTATGGCACCTATGTGAGGATAAGTTAGTACTAGATCTAACAACATGAACAGAACAGAGGGAATATGCTCACAATATACAAGATACTGACATGTAATACACAAGACGGACAAGGACATCCTCTATATATAAAGGCATAGGATAAAAAAAAGGACATAAGAGGACGCTGAAAATGCAAGTGAGTCGAAGAAATGTAAGGAAATATTCATACCTTGGTATAGATGGTCAACAAGTGGAATGTAATGAAAGAAGTTATGGAGACCACCTCCAGCCACACTCTTAAGGCCAGATTCGTTGAATAATTCAAACGTCAGAATAGCTAAGGTATAACTTGACAGGTACAGCACGGTAGTAGGCTGTGTATACAGACCTCACTCAGCCCTCCCCTCCCCCATCTACACCACCACACTACTGCCTTCATCTACACCACCACAGTCCTGCCCTCATCTACACCACCACACTTCTGCCCTCATCTACACCACCACACTTCTGCCTTCATCTACACCACCACACTTCTGCCTTCATCTACAAACCACACTTCTGCCTTCATCTACACCACCACACTTCTGCCTTCATCTACACCACCACACTTCTGCCTTCATCTACACCACCACACTTCTGCCTTCATCTACACCACCACACTTCTGCCTTCATCTACACCACCACACTTCTGCCTTCATCTACACCACCACACTTCTGCCTTCATCTACACCACCACACTTCTGCCTTCATCTACACCACCACACTTCTGCCTTCATCTACACCACCACACTTCTGCCTTCATCTACACCACCACACTTCTGCCTTCATCTACACCACCACACTTCTGCCTTCATCTACAAACCACACTTCTGCCTTCATCTACACCACCACACTTCTGCCTTCATCTACACCACCACACTTCTGCCTTCATCTACACCACCACACTTCTGCCTTCATCTACACCACCATACTTCTGCCTTCATCTACACCACCACACTCCTGCCTTCATCTACACCACCACACTTCTGCCTTCATCTACACCACCACACTCCTGCCTTCATCTACACCACCACACTTCTGCCTTCATCTACACCACCACACTCCTGCCTTCATCTACACCACCACACTTCTGCCTTTATCTACACCACCACACTTCTGCCTTCATCTACACCACCACACTTCTGCCCTCATCTACACCACCACACTTCTGCCTTCATCTACACCACCACACTCCTGCCTTCATCTACACCACCACACTTCTGCCTTCATCTACACCACCACACTTCTGCCTTCATCTACACCACCACACTTCTGCCCTCATCTACACCACCACACTTCTGCCTTCATCTACACCACCACACTCCTGCCTTCATCTACACCACCACACTTCTGCCTTCATCTACACCACCACACTCCTGCCTTCATCTACACCACCACACTTCTGCTTTCATCTACCATTATACTTCCTTCCAATTTGTCAACCAGGACCCGGATTCACGAAGCAGTTACGCAAGCATTTACGAACGTGTACATCTTTCCTCAATCTTTGACGGCTTTGGTTACATTTATTAAACAGTTTACAAGCATGACAACTTGCCAATCAAAAGTCATCCACGGGGGAGACATCTCCCGTCACGCAGGGTGCAGTCGCACCTCCACAGATCTCCAGTATCAGCTAATGGTACTGATAATGGCTCCAAAGGGCCACCACTTACGGGCTATTCATGCCCGTGCCATCTTTTGCGTGGCTTAATCTTTATCTATCAATCATTCCCAATCAACTGTTATTATTGTTATAAACAGCCTCCTGATGCTTCGGAGCTCATTAACTCTTTAATAATTGTAAACAAAGCCGCCAAAGATTGAGAAAAGATCTGCAGGTTCGTAAGTGCTTGCGTAACTGCTTCGTGAGTCCGGGTCCAGCTCCCCTCTCCCCACCACTACGCAGGAACATGTGACAAGATTGCACACAAGCAAATATATGAAAAATAAAATACCTGTTGTAAATTGTATTTTACCATAAAATAAAATATAAATACCTATTTGAAATACTAAGTAAAAAATAAAATACCTATTTGTAAAATACCTATCTTTGTGCGTTGAAGAGAAGCGTTCGAGGTAGAATTCCTAGACTGAAAAGCCAGAGTGCATGGGGGGGAGGACTTGTGTGAAAGCCTGGTTCGGCTTATAATAATAATAATGATAATAAATTATTATTATTATTATTTTATTGCGTGTGAGCCATTAATATTTATTTTAGTTTACCATGAAATATTTACAATTTTCTTTGAATCTTATAGCAGAAAATTCGAGATGCAGGGCAAACATCTATATTCATACTTCCGGACGCACCACAGTATAATTATACATAATAATAATGTAATTCATTACAATAAACATACAAAGGCCATAAGAACATTTTTCCTCCAACGGCGAGCACTACGGTGGTGATCTGTGTGAATAAGAGCTAAGACTATGCTATTCAATGACCATTCGTAATGATTTTAGTTCAAAAGGATCTTGCAGCACAGTTGTCTATGTCCTCACAGGCCTCTCAGCTCATAATTGAGGCGAGTGGGTACAATCCCAATTTAGCCATATCCCAATTTTTTATTTATTTATTTATTTATTTATTTATTTATTTATTTATTTATATATACAAGAGTTGTTACGTTCTTGTACAGCCACTGGCGCACACAGCGTTTCGGGCAAGTCGTTAATCCTATGTTCCCCGGAATATGATCCACGCCAAGCCGTTTAACAAGCAGGTACCCATTCACTGCTGGGCGAACAGAAGCACACAGCTAAGATTGGCGCCTAGTTAATCCTCCCCAGGCAGGATACGAGCCTACGCCAAACCGCACGCGAAGCGCAGGGCCAGTGTGTTACCATTTCACCACTGGGACTTCAAAAGCAAAACAAACACGCACCTAATTTATACACAGCTGCAAGCCTACATACTCTTGTTTCTCAAGCAACATTGTCAAATAACATCTTCCCAAGAACCTTATGCCTATATTTCACCTAGTACTATTTTATTTAAAATTTTACTGGAATATACCTGAGGGCCACCATCTCTCTAGCTTCATGCAGGTCAGCGTTCAATCCCCGACCGTCCATGTGGTTGGGCACCATTCCTTCCTCCGTCCCATCACAAATCCTTATCCTGAGCCCCGTCCAAGTGGTTGGGCACCATTTTTTCCTCCGTCCCATCCCAATAATAATGTAATTCATTACAATAAACATACAAAGGCCATAAGAACATTTTTCCTCCAACGGATCCTTATCATCCGGATCAGGATCCTTATCCTGATCCCTTCCAAGTGCTATATAGTCGTAATAGCTTGCCGATTTCCCCTGATAGTTCGTTTCCCATCTCTCTAGTGGCCTCGACGACAGGAAGCCAGTTGCTTTTCAAAGGCTCCGCCCCCCCTTCATTTTTCTTTAGATTTTTTCCAATGGAATTTTGAATTGAAGTAACGTCTTGGCATTTATAGGTTTGGTGGGTATGCAGTTCTATGGGTGAAAAAGCATCTCCTGTTTTCTGTCCTACATAAGACTTGTTGAGCTTGAAGCTGTTGCCTCTTGTATGTGTTACTTTTGACCTTTTAAACAGGGGGTTCTAGATTAATATTCTTCATTTTTTTTAGTACTGTATTTTAAGTCTTGATAAGATTAACCCTGTCATGTCTGGTTTGCAGTGTTGAGTGTTCTGTGGCTCTTAATTGTTTCTAGAATGAGAGTAGACTTAGTTCTGGGATGATTTTTTCACTCTGTGTTGAACCATCTCTAAAGCAGATACTATATGTCCTCCTAAAGATGAGGTCTCCATGCTTGGATCAGTGGTCCAGGTGGGGTTCTTTTGATTATTCCTAGAGTTTGATTGACTTTTTTTTTTTACTGCAGCTCCCACTTGTTGTGCAACTTCCAGTGACTGGTGGATCCTGGCTCCTAGGTATCATTTCTAATTGTCCACTAGCTTGAATTCATTTAAAATATACTTTACAGTATTGTACTTCTGTTAACTTCCAAATGTGATAATTCTCAATATATACCTTTATCACTTCAATATATACCTTTATCACTAGCTTTAAGTATAGTATGACTATATTTAGGTTTAACTGTACATTTAGGTTTAACTGTACATTTAGGTTTAACTGTACATTTAGGTTTATAGTGATTTATAAATCACTATAAAATTTCAATGTACATGTACCACAAATAATTTGTAAGCCTTAAGACTTGCCAAAAATGGTGTGTGTGTTAGTGGCTCTGCAAGATTGTTCACCAGTTGTACATAGCCAATATCGTCAAATGTTGTGCCTTATTTGGTAAGTAATGTGAGGTCTATGTGAATATTGTCTACACGTAGGAATAAAACAGTCAAGGTGGAGGCTTGGAAGGTTGTGTAAAGTTGACTCATCATAACCTTGTTATACACCAAGGTGTGTTCAAAGACCTAGAGTTATTTTTATTATTACAACTTACTACTTAAAAGATTGGTCAACTATTAATGCCATGATACATTGCCTTTTTCCCCCAGACAGCAAGGTTGTATTTTTAATACGTCAGCGGTAATTATGCCTTGTTGTTCACAATATATAGTCAGACTTTAGCTATACATCACTTGCCAGACTCTGAACGTTCGTGTAGTTTGTTCACACCTCTTCATATGCCAGTAATTAATGCACTCTTCACATCCCACTTTTCCATATACTGTATTACAGTTTTAACCTCAAATCTTAAGACATGGATGACACACAATATTTTAATCAGTGTCACTGATATAGACCTAAAACTGGGTACGCCCAAAAATAAACCCTTGCTAATACCAAATAGGCAACTAATAAATACAATACATTGAGAAACAATTCTAGTCCAAAGTTATTAAATCAAAATGCATGTTACCTTATAATGATAGACTGTACTGTACTGTTCTTAGATCTACGATGACACTAGAATAAAATGAAGATATAAAACAGTGTTATATCACAAGTCAGGACCAGAACTTACTCTGGAGGCTGCGGGTCTATTCTGACCCAGAGGTCATTAAACTGTGCATGTTTCCTGGAGGGTTCACTAGTGGTGGGTATCCCACGGTGTCGGTGTCCTGCTGTTTGCTCCGACAGAAACCTGCAAATATACAGTACACTGTACAACAGTACACACAAACACTAATAGATCTTGAAGGGTATAAACCTCTCCTCAGACCCTACAGTAATATAGCAAAAAAAAAAAAAAAAAGACAGGCACACTAAAAGAGTTAAGAAACACATTCATACAAAGATTCAAAGGTAAAGATGAGGAGAGGAGAGGTGGTGGTGATAGTGGATGGAGGAGAGGACGTAGTCCTTCACCCAGTGACTATGTACGAAATATTAATGTGCAGAATGCAAGAGCAATCTCTCAGCTCCCTAGGAACAATGTCAGGAGTTTAAATGGGTTCTACACTAATGACAGAAGCCTGGTAAATTGATAAATAAAGACAGCTTCACTTATGACATACTTTTCATGAAAAGTTATGAGTTTGCACACAACCTCGACCAGAACACATGAGACACCTTTGCAAGAAAAGTAGTTTTGTTCAGGTAATAAAGACATAAGACTGCATTAGTATCAATGGGCAATTACAGTATAGGAATAGTATTCAATTGATTTATACGTAGGGATGCAGTCCAAGACACCTTTGTAACAAAGAGATGCACAAGAATTTTTGGTGGTAACCTTATGGAAAAAACTAGATGCATCCAGGACCAAAAAATTGCATTACACCAAACTATCATTAACGCATGTATGTGCAGTTCTGTACTGTAAAATATTACGCTTCACTGGAAATACAAGAACATACAATGGGTATCTATGTACATACAACCTGACGGAGCAAATCCAAATTTCTCAGCTAACTCTGAATAAAAGTGAGTTATTTCCGTGTGCAGATTTTTAATAAGTCCCTCTAATATTTTCGAAATCTAAACCTGTTACTTATCTCTCTCGCCTGGAACCACTTAAATATTTAACAACTTCAAGTGGCCCAAACGATTTAGACGTTTTGTGTGGATTCAGGCAATAAAAGATTTGTTGCATGTTCTCCTGGTCAGCAGTTTCTCTAGTTTTTACCTGAGGGCCACTAACCCTAGTGTCCTCGACGAGGACAGGAAGCCGGGGGCTTGTCGAACGCCCACCCCCCATTTGCCTTGATGATCTTTTCTAGTATATTTTAAAACAACACAGTTTTGGCAGTTACGGCTAGATGTTACTACTGCTCGGCTTAGATTCGGTAACCATCTCTGGGAATTCTCATTATCTGCTGATGTAGACCTGACCAAATGTAAACTGTGTCAACAAAATTATTCGCACACCCTCCGTCACTATGTGATGGAGTGCGAAAAGATACGTGAATTCAGAGACAATTCTATAACCAATGTTCCAGCGATGTGTCAATATTTTATTCAAAATGAAATGCTGCCAGAAGTCTTGGCCAAATATTCCCAGTTTGCTAACTGTAGGTAGTAACTAAGAGTGATTGTAACCTATCCACCGCTGCCCACTGGATGGGGGGCGGTGTGCAGGACAAACATATCAATTGTGACACTAGCTCTCCACATATGTCAGTTGCTTAATTTAGAAACTGCACTTGTGGTCGGTCTCGAGCCCATTGTTGATGTGACGATGTGTATTAAGTTTTGTAACTAGCTCATCAAGATTGTAACTTGCTTAGCTAAATGAATTGTGGGGTTCAGTTCCTGAGCCCATTATGTGCCTCTGTAACCCTTTCCACTACCGCCCACAAGATGGGTATGGGGTGCATAATAAATAAACTGAACTAACTAAACTAATGTTGGAGAAAGTTCAACATTAGGCGACAAAAATCATTGCCGACATGATATTTTTGAACTTAGTTTGAAACTGTTTGGCATGTAATATAAAGCAACATAACAGGTCAGGTAATTTAAGGCTTTTGACTCATTAGTATTAAGTTTTAGTCTTCAGTGTTTTTCCTGCCCGAAACGCTTTGCGTAATAGTGGCTTTAGGCTTGTATGTACTAGCTCTATCTATAAATCCATAAATATTTGTATCACCCCTTGTATGTATATACTTTACCTGAGTAAACATTTGAATTTCGATTTTTTTTAATTTGAAGTAATATATTATGGATATTTGTTATAATTAATAAAATATACCTGGTTGATACCTGGTTGATGGGGTTCTGGGAGTTCTTCTACTCCCCAAGCCCGACCCGAGGCCTGGCTTGACTTGTGAGAGTTTGGTCCACCAGGCTGTTGCTTGGAGCGGCCCGCAGGCCCACATACCCACCACAGCCCGGTTGGTCCGGCACTCCTTGGAGGAATAAATCTAGTTTCCTCTTGAAGATGTCCACTGTTGTTCCGGCAATATTTCTTATGCTTACTGGGAGGGTGTTGAACAACCGCGGACCTCTGATGTTTATACAGTGTTCTCTGATTGTGCCTATGGCACCTCTGCTCTTCACTGGTTCTATATACATCATAAAATGAATTATTTGAAGATTTAACTTTTGATTGTGCCTGTTGCTTGCTACTGAGCCGCGTGTGGTTACTCGATGACAATGTACACGCGAAACATCTGCACTCTAAGTCTGTTTCTCTCTTGTGGCGTCGAAAATCAAATGTCACACACAACTCGTCAATGAAACACATTCAAAACTATGACAAAAGTTGATTATTTGCGTCTGATTCTTAATGTACTGACACATGAAATGGAACGTTATAGTTTAGTTCATTTATCATGCCACCCCATCCCCCGTGGGCAGCAGTGGCAAAGGTTAGAGAGGCCCCATAGAGCCCAGTACTGGGTGGTGACCGGTGCCCTGGAGAATCCTGGTCTACTGTTCTGTAAGAAACGTAAATCAACTCACTTGGCAAAGGCTGGATCATGTTGTTGCTGAGCATCTAGTGTGCTGGACGTTAAGAAGTCCTTCAGCACTGAGGGCTCCGGCACTATTCCTCCCCGGTGTCCTCTCCGCCGTTTGTGTCTGCAAAGAACAAGTTAAATTTATACAAGAACTGAAAGAGTATTGCAAACAGGCAAAAGTCAGACAGAATTATAGATGATACTAGGGAGGGGGGGGGGCTCTTATAGAGTATGGGTCCTGTATCACAGTGGTCAACATACTCGGTATACAATCAAGTCACCCGTTCAATATCCGGTCACACCAGAAACAACTGGCTACATTTCCTTTCTCCTGATGTCTATGTCCACCTAGCAGTAAAATAGGTACCCGGGAGTGAGACAATAATTGAGGCTGCACCCTGGGGAAGGTCGGTAATTGGTCCAGGGCGCCGCCCTTGATTGACTTTTTATTGTTGCAGACGGAGGCGGCCAGTTTATTGTGCACCCCATACTCACCCTGTGAGCGGTAGTTTATTGTGCACCCCATACTCACCCTGTGAGCGGTAGTTTATTGTGCACCCCATACTCACCCTGTGAGCGGTAGTTTATTGTGCACCCCATACTCACCCTGTGAGCGGTAGTTTATTGTGCACCCCATACTCACCCTGAGCGGTAGTTTATTGTGCACCCCATACTCACCCTGAGCGGTAGTTTATTGTGCACCCCATACTCACCCTGTGAGCGGTAGTTTATTGTGCACCCCATACTCACCCTGTGAGCGGTAGTTTATTGTGCACCCCATACTCACCCTGTGAGCGGTAGTTTATTGTGCACCCCATACTCATCCTGTGAGCGGTAGTTTATTGTGCACCCCATACTCATCCTGTGAGCGGTAGTTTATTGTGCACCCCATACTCACCCTGTGAGTGGTAGTTTATTGTGCACCCCATACTCACCCAGTGAGTGGTGGTTTATTGTGCACCCCATACTCACCCTGTGAGCGGTAGTTTATTGTGCACCCCATACTCATCCTGTGAGCGGTAGTTTATTGTGCACCCCATACTCACCCTGTGAGTGGTGGTTTATTGTGCACCCCATACTCATCCTGTGAGCGGTAGTTTATTGTGCACCCCATACTCACCCTGTGAGCGGTAGTTTATTGTGCACTCCATACTCATCCTGTGAGCGGTAGTTTATTGTGCACCCCATACTCACCCTGTGAGCGGTAGTTTATTGTGCACCCCATACTCACCCTGTGAGCGGTAGTTTATTGTGCACCCCATACTCATCCTGTGAGCGGTAGTTTATTGTGCACCCCATACTCATCCTGTGAGCGGTAGTTTATTGTGCACCCCATACTCACCCTGTGAGCGGTAGTTTATTGTGCACCCCATACTCACCCTGTGAGCGGTAGTTTATTGTGCACCCCATACTCATCCTGTGAGCGGTAGTTTATTGTGCACCCCATACTCACCCTGTGAGCGGTAGTTTATTGTGCACCCCATACTCATCCTGTGAGCGGTAGTTTATTGTGCACTCCATACTCACCCTGTGAGTGGTGGTTTATTGTGCACCCCATACTCATCTTGTGAGCGATGGTTTATTGTGCACCCCATACTCATCTTGTGAGCAGTAGTTTATTGTGCACCCCATACTCATCCTGTGAGCGGTAGTTTATTGTGCACCCCATACTCACCCTGTGAGCGGTAGTTTATTGTGCACCCCATACTCATCCTGTGAGCGGTAGTTTATTGTGCACCCCATACTCATCCTGTGACGGTAGTTTATTGTGCACCCCATACTCACCCTGTGAGTGGTGGTTTATTGTGCACCCCATACTCATCTTGTGAGCGATGGTTTATTGTGCACCCCATACTCATCCTGTGAGTGGTGGTTTATTGTGCACCCCATACTCATCCTGTGAGCGGTGGTTTATTGTGCACCCCATACTCATCCTGTGAGCGGTGGTTTATTGTGCACCCCATACTCATCCTGTGAGTGGTGGTTTATTGTGCACCCCATACTCATCCTGTGAGTGGTGGTTTATTGTGCACCCCATACTCATCTTGTGAGCGGTGGTTTATTGTGCACCCCATACTCATCCTGTGAGCGGTGGTTTATTGTGCACCCCATACTCATCCTGTGAGCGGTGGTTTATTGTGCACCCCATACTCATCCTGTGAGCGGTGGTTTATTGTGCACCCCATACTCACCCTGTGAGCGGTGGTTTATTGTGCACCCCATACTCACCCTGTGAGCGGTGGTTTATTCTGCACCCCATACTCATCCTGTGAGCGGTGGTTTATTGTGCACCCCATACTCATCCTGTGAGTGGTGGTTTATTGTGCACCCCATACTCATCCTGTGAGCGGTGGTTTATTGTGCACCCCATACTCATCCTGTGAGTGGTGGTTTATTGTGCACCCCATACTCATCCTGCGAGCGGTGGTTTATTGTGCACCCCATACTCACCCTGTGAGCGGTAGCGCAAAAAAGCATTACAGAGGGCACAAAAGGTCTTTATCAGTTCTCAACAGAGATTATTACATTAACAATTACATTTATCCTTCACATCTTATAATTATAATGTCTGCTAGTTACAGAGAATGTTCCATTTCAATAGCTATGTATTTACAGTTAATCATTATACATTAATGGTAGGTCTTGTCGCTAATACGTAATTGTTTAAGTTATGGAAATATTACAGTCATAGGGGAGCTGCTGTTAGTTAGTATTAGTCTTCACAATACACTACTTGTTTCTTAATCTCATATGTCGTTTATCTACTGGAGGCGATATATGGATACAGTGCAAGGAGTTCAGATATTTTATCCTTAGTAATAAGATGGTTTACCATTTCATACAGCGTGAGTTTACATTTAACTCCAAATGGCTCAGTTTTATTACAGTCCAAGATATAATGCTCAAGTGTGTGTGTCCCTGACTTTGTCCACACACTTTACACTTTACTTCATCTAGATCCCTATACAAGCCCAAGTGCCAGAGATACTTGTAGCCAAGTCTTATTCGAGCTGTGACAACGTCTGTTAGTCTACTGATGTTGTTACTTGCCCCATAAACATGTTTTACTTCACACATTTCATTGTGATGAACAATTGACTTTTATGGTTATAGGACAGCCAAGTATAATTCTGAGTGCTTCATTTTGCATTTTTTCCAGTCTATCAATACTTTTGCCATTTTGAAGGACCAAAGCTGGTGCATGATAGTCTATCAGAGATCTTATATACGCTAAATACATCATTCTTGCTATTCTAATATTAACACCGTATTTCGGGCTGTACCCACTACAGTTTTGAGAGCCTTGAGTCTGTCTCTACACTGTTGATGTTTACTAGTTGTGTTTTTGCGGGGGTTGAGCTTTGCTCTTTCGGCCCGCCTCTCAACTGTCAATCAACTGTTTACTAACTACTTTTTTTTTTTTTCCCCACACCACACACACACATTGTAACTTATTGATGTATTGATGTAACTTTATTGATGTAACTTATTGACTGCAGTTGAGGTACAAGGGACAGAGACACCAAGGTATTTGAAAGAAGAGACATAGTCTATTGGTATGTTATGCATCTCTTAGTTTTCGTGGTCCACTTTTGCGATTGCCAATTTGTCTGTTAAATACCTTACTTGTAGCAGCGTTACTTAGAAGACCAAGGCTCTCACAAGCTGTATGCATAAAGTGTAAGATTGTTTGCATTTCGCAGTGTGCAAACAATCGCCAAAACGCCCTAGGGGGGGGGGAGGGGACTGGAAACCTAAGTACAGGCTTCCTGTCCCCATAAACATGAATGACGTATTATAGACAATGTATGGCCCAGTGCAGCCATACAATTTATAAATCAAAACAGAAGAGAATATCAGAGGAATGATGAATGACAGGAGCACATACGTGTTCGTGGGTGGGTAGTGTGTGGATGCATTAAAGAATAAGGATAGATGGGTAGTAAGAATGAGCTTGTGGGGGGGGGTGTTAGCGTAGCATCTGAAAGGAAATGAGGTGCATTAACGGATTGGGTAAATCAGGATGAGTCTTGATATTATGAGTCAGATAAGAATGAGACAATGGTACGATGAAACTGGTCGAAGTGAAGTTATTGGAAGGATGGAATGGTATAAGGCATGGAATGGACGAGGCAAGAGTGGAATGGGTGAGAAGGTGCGAGATGGGTGAGGCTAGGATGAGGATGGGGGTGGAGGAGACCAGGGGATGAACGGGGGGGGGGGAGTGTCTGACCAAGGGGAGATTGTAGGTGGAATGGGGGATATGGGTCAGGTCAAGACTGGGGAGGCTAGATGGATCAGTCCAAGACGAGAATAGGGGGTGGGTGGGTGGGGTGGGAACTGTCACAGCAGGATGGGAAAGGCAGGCTGGGATAGGAGTTTGTACCTCTTAATCCTGGTCTCGGGAGCGACGTGTTGGACGACGAGGCCCGCCGAGCGCACCACGTCCAGCACCGTGTGGTTCCCCAGGAAGTGGCCTGCGGGCAGGGACAACAACACACCAGTGAGGCAACACTCCAGCTACACCTACACATGCACAACAGCCTCAACAAGTCTGGTACAAGCGACTGTTTCGTAAATTAAAGAGAGTATCCAAGCAAACAAAATGTGTTTGGTGTAAATTGCTGGACAGCCTCGTGAACCCGAGAATGTTTCCAAGCCCAAAATGAGATCCAGTTGGGTTCAAAGAACCTGTTGTTGGGTCCATAACGTCCTAGTCAAATAATAAATAAACTTTTGTTTAATTTGTTTATGAGTCATAATTGACTTATAATAACCTCGACTACTTTCTAAGCCATGAGTTAAGACGTCCTTATTGTAAATTCACATGAATCAATGTAATCAGAATACCTTACCTTGCTTAATGTACAAACTTACAATATAAATAAATAAATAAATGTCTAGCTTATATTTATGAAAAATGCTCAATATTACACCTTAGGAAAGAGTCATTTGTTAGCGGCTAAATTTACAACTCCAATATTGACTTGCTATAATCTACGTAAGTCAATATTCGACTTAAAGTCTCGGGTGAAGGATAGGTTGCGTAAAGTCTCGGGTGAAGGATAGGTTGAGCAAAGTCTCGGGTGAAGGATAGGTTGCGCAAAGTCTCGGGTGAAGGATAGGTTGAGCAAAGTCTCGGGTGAAGGATAGGTTGTGCAAAGTCTCGGGTGAAGGATAGGTTGCGCAAAGTCTCGGGGTGAAGGATAGGTTGTGCAAAGTCTCGGGTGAAGGATAGGTTGAGCAAAGTCTCGGGTGAAGGATAGGTTGAGCAAAGTCTCGGGTGAAGGATAGGTTGAGCAAAGTCTCGGGTGAAGGATAGGTTGAGCAAAGTCTCGGGTGAAGGATAGGTTGCGCAAAGTCTCGGGTGAAGGATAGGTTGCGCAAAGTCTCGGGTGAAGGATAGGTTGAGCAAAGTCTCGGGTGAAGGATAGGTTGCGCAAAGTCTCGGGTGAAGGATAGGTTGCGCAAAGTCTCGGGTGAAGGATAGGTTGCGCAAAGTCTCGGGTGAAGGATAGGTTGCGCAAAGTCTCGGGGTGAAGGATAGGTTGCGCAAAGTCTCGGGTGAAGGATAGATTGAGCAAAGTCTCGGGTGAAGGATAGGTTGAGCAAAGTCTCGGTGAAGGATAGGTTGCGCAAAGTCTCGGGTGAAGGATAGGTTGAGCAAAGTCTCGGGTGAAGGATAGGTTGAGCAAAGTCTCGGGTGAAGGATAGGTTGAGCAAAGTCTCGGGTGAAGGATAGGTTGCGCAAAGTCTCGGGGTGAAGGATAGGTTGCTCAGAGAACAGTCACACAGTGGCGCCTCACCGTATAAGGATTAACATGAACTGTAATACTTTGACAAAACATGTCGAGGCAAAAATAAATAAGATACAAATAAGGTTACTAAATACTTAATGCAAGCTCAAAAGTTATCACAACACTAATCGTTTTAAAATATATAGGCGAGACAAATTCTTAAAATTTAGTTTGCAGTCAAGATAGATTATATTAAGATTTAGTAACTAAGAATATTTTAGGGAAGACGTCCATTAGAAGTGAAGTCCTCTGAAAACAAGAGAGGACGTGATGTCATCATGCTGAACACATGGGTTAAAACAAGGGTTTCCTTGAGCAGTACCAACCATATTCAGAAACTAAAATAGGTATATACTATAACATATTTTGTTTGTAATAATGATCAACATACGTTTCATTTACACCTTTACTGTATTATGCTAATTAATATTTATAACCATCCATAAAAACATTGACAGTAGACAAATCCACAAGGGCCATGACGAGGATTCGAACCTGCGTCCGGGAGCATCCCAGACACTGCCTTAATCGACTGAGCTACGACAATTCGGTTTCAACCCTTTTACCCTGTCGTAGCTCAGTCGATTAATTAAGGCAGTGTCTGGGATGCTCCCGGACGCAGGTTCGAATCCTCGTCATGGCCCTTGTGGATTTGTTCATTTGATGCATCACGTTAGTGTGATCTCTGTGTGTATTGGCAGTGGCTTACCTGTAGGTTTACAGAATGCTCTGCTGTATATATGTGGCTGTATACATGTGGCTGTATATAATATATGATGTGTGGCTACGGATGCTCCACTACATCATCTCTATAATCTTACATCAATTATTATCATTATTATTGTTATTATTATGAAGACACAAATTCAAAGTGTTTCTGGCATGCAAATTGGTAGAGAAACTATTCACATACATTACTATGTAATTATGAATAACTAAGGGTTGAGAGACAACTCTTTATCACTAATGTTAAAGAAACGTTCATGTATTTTATCCAGGCTGATATTACCCAAAATCTTAGCCTAACCCAGAACCTCAAACGTGTCTACTGTAGATAGTGTTAACACTAAGCTTTTCACTGCCTCAAAATTCTTGTCTCACGACCATCACAAGACATAATCTGGGACATTACGATCTCAGATACGACATACTCAGATCACAAGATCACTGAAGTGTAACTAACATCAATAATCATAACAGGCCTAAAACAAATAATCAAGCGAGAGGGAACCTTACTTATCATTCAGTAAGGTTCAGTGAGGATTATTCAGTAAAATGCTCAGTAAGATTCATCACAAAAATGCTCAGTAAGATTCATCACAAAAATGCTCAGTAAGATTCATCACAAAAATGCTCAGTAAGATTCATCACAAAAATGCTCAGTAAGATTCATCACAAAAATGCTCAGTAAGATTCATCACAAAAATGCTCAGTAAGATTCATCACAAAAATGCTCAGTAAGATTCATCACAAAAATGCTCAGTAAGATTCATCACAAAAATGCTCAGTAAGATTCATCACAAAAATGCTCAGTAAGATTCATCACAAAAATGCTCAGTAAGATTCATCACAAAACTGCTCAGTAAGATTCATCACAAAAATGCTCAGTAAGATTCATCACAAAAATGCAAACTGGTTCATCACAAAAAATGTCCAGTTCTTAAACCCATTACGTGACATTAGGTTGATTACGCTACACCAAAACTGTGATTGTAGTGTTGGTTTAAATATTAACAAACTAGCTCATCAAATATGTAACTTGCTCAGCCATACGAATCTTGGAGCTGACTTTACGTGGCTATTATGTGTTACCTTACCCCCCCCCATCACTCACAGGACGAGTATGGGGTGCACAATACACTACCGCTCGCAGGACGAGTATGGGGTGTACAATACACTACCGCTCACAGGACGAGTATGGGATGCACAATACACTACCGCTCACAGGACGAGTATGGGGTGCACAATACACTACCGCTCGCAGGACGAGTATGGGGTGCACAATACACTACCACTCGCAGGACGAGTATGGGGTGCACAATACACTACCGCTCACAGGACGAGTATGGGATGCACAATACACTACCGCTCACAGGACGAGTATGGGGTGCACAATACACTACCACTCGCAGGACGAGTATGGGGTGCACAATACACTACCACTCGCAGGACGAGTATGGGGTGCACAATACACTACCACTCGCAGGACGAGTATGGGGTGCACAATACACTACCGCTCACAGGACGAGTATGGGATGCACAATACACTACCGCTCACAGGACGAGTATGGGGTGCACAATACACTACCACTCGCAGGACGAGTATGGGGTGCACAATACACTACCACTCGCAGGACGAGTATGGGGTGCACAATACACTGCCGCTCACAGGACAAGTATGGGGTGCACAATACACTACCGCTCACAGGACAAGTATGGGGTGCACAATACACTACCGCTCACTGGACGAGTATGGGGTGCACAATACACTACCGCTCACAGGACGAGTATGGGGTGCACAATACACTACCGCTCACTGGACGAGTATGGGATGCACAATACACTACCGCTCACAGGACAAGTATGGGGTGCACAATACACTACCGCTCACAGGACAAGTATGGGGTGCACAATACACTACCGCTCACAGGACGAGTATGGGGTGCACAATACACTACCGCTCACTGGACGAGTATGGGATGCACAATACACTACCGCTCACAGGACAAGTATGGGGTGCACAATACACTACCGCTCACAGGACAAGTATGGGGTGCACAATACACTACCGCTCACGGGACGAGTATGGGAGTGCACAATACACTACCGCTCACTGGACGAGTATGGGGTGCACAATTCACTACCGCTCACAGGACGAGTATGGGGGTGTACAATACACTACCGCTCACAGGACGAGTATAGGGTGCACAATAAACTACCACTCACAGGACGAGTATAGGGTGCACAATAAAGTACCACTCGCAGGACGAGTATGGGGTGTACAATACACTACCACTCGCAGGACGAGTATGGGGTGTACAATACACTACCGCTCACAGGACGAGTATGGGGTGTACAATACACTACCACTCACAGGACGAGTATGGGGGTGTACAATACACTACCGCTCACAGGACGAGTATGGGGTGTACAATACACTACCGCTCACAGGACGAGTATGGGGTGTACAATACACTACCACTCACAGGACGAGTATGGGGTGTACAATACACTACCACTCACAGGACGAGTATGGGGGTGTACAATACACTACCGCTCACAGGACGAGTATGGGGTGTACAATACACTACCACTCACAGGACGAGTATGGGGGTGTACAATACACTACCGCTCACAGGACGAGTATGGGGTGTACAATACACTACCGCTCACAGGACGAGTATGGGGTGTACAATACACTACCACTCACAGGACGAGTATGGGGTGTACAATACACTACCGCTCACAGGACGAGTATGGGGGTGTACAATACACTACCACTCACAGGACGAGTATGGGGGTGTACAATACACTACCGCTCGCAGGACGAGTATGGGGTGTACAATACACTACCGCTCACAGGACGAGTATGGGGTGTACAATACACTACCACTCACAGGACGAGTATGGGGTGTACAATACACTACCGCTCGCAGGACGAGTATGGGAAGCACAAATGA